TGTGTGTGTGTGTGTGTGTGTGTGTGTGTGTGTGTGTGTGTGTGTGTGTGTTCATTTATTCATTTTGTTTATTCATTCTACAAATATTTACCCAGCCCCCTTGAGCACTGCACCAGGTGCTGGGACACAGCAGTAACCTGGGGAGAGTTGAGAAACAGCAGAAATCAGATCCAATGCTTAGGAATCAGGGGCCTGCCGTTCAACCAGGGCAGATCCCCACACAAGTGTCTTTGAGACGCTGCCTGCTTAGAAAAGACCCAGATGCCTAGGGACCTTTTCCTGCCAGGCTTCCCAGTCCTTCAGGTTATTGCTCAGCGTGGGGAAGGAGACAAGAACCAGCAGTCATGTTTCCAGTGGCTGGGCGACCCCAGGCATATCTCCTCTTGAGGTTACTGGGCTCCACAAGGCTGGGTACATTCCTTCCCTCCCGTTTCCTGGGTTTCTGGGGGTGGTGCTGGAGTGGGCGCCTGGGAGGGAGCAGCTCTCTGCTGCCCTCGCCTGAGCCCTGCCTGCAGGTGGCAGGTGTCAGGTTAGGCCCAGCCCCCTCAGGGCCCAGCCACTCAGGTACGCAGCCTTCCTCCCTCCCCTGCCGCTGGGCTCTCTTTTATAAAGGGCCTTTCCTGGGCGCTGTCCCACCTTCCAGAAGCGGCTGCCTGGCTTCTTTTGAGTATCTGTCTTCAGCTCACCTGCCTTCACCCCAGCCTCCACCATGTCCATGAGGGTGACCCAGAAGACCTACAAGGTGTCCACCTCCGGCCCCCGGGCCTTCAGCAGCCTCTCGTACACCAGCGGCCCTGGTTCCCGTGTCAGCTCCTCCAGCTTCTCCCGAGTGGGCAGCAGCGGCAGCAGCTTCCGGGGCGGCCTAGGTCTGGGAGGCTATGGTGGTGCTGCTGGCATGGGGGGCATCACAGCTGTTCAGGTGAACCAGAGCCTGCTGAACCCCCTGAATCTGGAGGTGGACCCCAACATCCAGGCTGTGCGCCTTCAGGAGAAGGAGCAGATAAAGACCCTCAACAACAAGTTTGCCTCCTTCATTGACAAGGTGAGGGTCTGTCCTTTCTCTTGCTTGCCCCAGGTGGCTGGAGCCTCCAACACCCCCAGGCTCCTGCTGGATCCCGCTTGATCCTGGTGACACACCTTCCAGTCCAGGGCTGGTTCCTGTCATGCACTTTGGTTTGGGCTAGGGAAAGGATGACGGTAAGGGAGTCTTAGATGGCTGGTGACCCTAAAGCCTGGGCCTCCGTCCTCTTCACCCTCACCCCGAGCCTAACTCTTAATGGGTCTGTAAAGCTTTCAGCCTGGAGCTCTCTCGCTGCAGGTTCACTTCTCTTCCCCAGCACTCTCCCAGGGGGTCCCCAACGGTGGTAACTTAGTGCTTTTTCTAATTTTTTGGTTTAAAAGTGGAGGTTTGATAGGATTGTAAGAGAAAGGGGTAGGAACTGATTCAAACAGGAAATACTGATCGAAACCTTTGGCGCCCCAGGGCCTGAGTGCGGGGGCGCCTGGCTGAGTCACGACGGGGCCCCTGGCCAGCCGGCCGGGGTGTGGGCGGGGTCGCAGTCCCCTGTCGCACCCCACCTGGGCACGCTCCTGGCGTCCTACAGGGCCTGGCTTCGGGATTCTCCATGCAGGATTCAAAGTCTGAGGGCGTTGCACGCCCCTCCCAGTTCAAGTCCTGTTAAACCCAGAGTTTATGGCTTCAGATAACGCGCCGCTTCACCAACGCCCCCTTGCCCACTTGGCCCTTGCCCCCTTTCACTTTTCCTATGTCCCGGTCCGTCCTAGAGCCCCGTTCCACTTCCACAGGGCGGCAGGAGCTAGGCTGGGTTTTGCAGCCCTGTGGCCCCAGGGGCCCCGGAGATTGGCCCTGGTCTGCTGACTGGCTCCTGGGAGGCATTGTGGGAACGGGAGGAGGGAAATCCCGGGGCAGATGACGCCCTTAGGATTGAAGCTGCCGGGAGCAGCTCCTTGTAGAGGGCTTGCTGGTTGCTCTCCAGAGCCCGTGGCTAGACTTCTCCACTGTTTCGCTAGCTCTGGGGTTCTGACTGAGCAGTTGAGCACATGCTTTGGGGTGTAAATTCTGGTTCACAAGGTCGAGTGGTTTCCTTTGAGGGGCTGGCTTAGTGTCTGACTTCCTCATCTGTAAAATGGGTGTGGTAGTCCCCAAATCAAAGAATTTTTACCCATTTAATGCATATAGTGACCGGGACAGAGTTTAGCAGTGCCTGGCCGCCATTATGCATTCCAATAGTAGTAAGTGTTATAGTTACTTGTTACTTTTTTTATAATCTTGGCAGAATGACCTAAGAAAGATTTATACAGGACTGTGGGGAAATAACTAGATTATACCTTTAGGACGTCCTTCTCTCCCAAGTTCCCACAATTTAAAAAGAGTTATAATTTTGAATTGATTTAAAGAAATGCATTTTGGGCCAGGGATTTACAGCGGTTTGGTGGCCTGCCTTGTAAGCGCAAAGACCCGAGTTAAATCCCCAGTACCAAAAAAAAAAAAAAGGCATTTTCTTTTTGGAACAATTAAAAAAAAAATACCACTGGAGGGTGAACCCTCACACTTGCTAGGTAAGGCAATCTACCATGGAGCTATGTCCTAGTATCTTAGCTCCTCCCTCTCCCTCCCTCCTATTCTGGGGATTGAACCCAGGGACTTGCACAGAGCTACATTCTCAGCCCTTTTATTAATTTTTTATTTTGAGACAGGGTCTTGTTAAGTTGCTAAATTGCCCAGGCTGGGCTTCAGTTTTTAGCCTTCCTTCTTCAGATTCCCAAAAAGCTTGGATTACAAGGGTGTACCACTACACCTGTCCTATTTTTTCTTAAGAAAATTTCCCTCTAGCTGGGTGTGGTGGTGCAGGCCTGTACTCCTAGCACTTAGGAGACTGAGTCAGGATGATCACTTTTGAGCTTGAAGCCCAGCCTGGGCTACACAGTGAGACCGTCTCAAAACAGCAAACAAACAACCAACCCCCACCATATACCTTAAATTTTATTTTAAGATGTGGATTCCTTGAGCTCCAGGAACTCAGGGGGCTTCTGTGTTTGAGGCAGGAGAGAGGATTGTGGGTATAGGAACAAGTATAGAGTGGGGAGACTCTTCCTGATGCCAAAGAATCTCACAAAGAGTACGGTGAGAGTTAGGGAGGGGCTGAAGAGGACCTAGGCTCTGAGAGGGGCAGTTAGTCTAGTTATGCAGCACAGGTTTTGTAGCAGTGTTGGCTAGAACTGGTCTCTCGGCCAGTGCTTTCTGGGTGTTTGGGACAAAGTTTCCCTAAGATCTGCGTGGATTCTTTCTTCAAACTCACTCCAGATAATAATGATAATGATATTATTTGATAGGAACAATCTTTATTTTCTCTTTCTTTTTAAATTTTATTTTTCAAAATTTTTTGTTGTTGTTGTTTTGTTTTTTGAGACAGGGTCTCACTATGTAGTTGAGACTGACCTGGAACTCACTATGTAGCCAGACTGGTCTCGAACTCAATAGCAATCCTCCTGCCTCAGCCTCCCGAGTGCTGGAATTCTTTTTCAGTCTTATGTAAAGTGTAAATCAAAGAGTCTTTAGGAAGCTTGGCTGTATTTACTGATTTGTGACATACAGTGTATGAAAATCAGGTCCATTCTGCTGATGCAGCTTCAACCTAACTCCTCTAGCTGTGCCCTTCCAATGATGCCCCTCCCACCTCCGGTGCTAGAGGAATATGGCTCCCAACTCTACCTCATCATGCTGTCGCTGGTCACAGGTGATCCTCCCAGATTAGCTAAGCAAATCCTAGGATCTCATTGCTCAGGGAGTGGGCTGGGGGAAGGCACAGGACTAGTTGCCCTCCAGGCCCTGACCTTGGTGTGATGCAGACCTTTTTGCTCTCTCTTCCCCGTGCAGGTGCGGTTCCTGGAGCAGCAAAACAAGATGCTGGAGACCAAGTGGAGCCTCTTGCAGCAGCAGAAGACATCCCGGAGCAACATGGACAATATGTTCGAAAGCTACATCAACAACCTCCGGCGGCAGCTGGACACGCTGGGCCAGGAGAAGTTGAAGCTGGAGGCGGAGCTTGGCAACATGCAGGGGCTGGTGGAGGACTTCAAGAATAAATACGAGGATGAGATCAACAAGCGTACAGAGATGGAGAATGAATTTGTCCTCATCAAGAAGGATGTGGATGAAGCTTACATGAATAAGGTGGAGCTTGAGTCTCGCCTGGAGGGGCTGACCGATGAGATCAACTTCCTCAGGCAGCTGTATGAAGAGGTATGTTGGTGGGGGCTGGAGAAGAGAGGGTCCCCAGCCTGTCAGGGCCTCCACCCTCGACCCAGCCAGAGGCTTCTCCCAGCCCCCAGTGCTGACGGCAAGGGCCCACTACTTGATAACCATGGCTATAAATATTGGCCTAGTTAAGTTTGTCCCAGGGGCTCTGTCCCCCTGTATGTGGCAGGGCTTATTACCCCATTTCACAGATGAGGAAGTGGGCTCAGAGAAGTGACGTGACCTATCCAAAGTTGTCGTACAGAGAGTGGTCACATAGCCGCAACTCAGGGCCATTGTGTCCCAAAACTCTTATTCCTGATCTTTGGGCTGAATAGAGGCCTCTGTGGGCTTAATATTGGTGGCTGGGAGCATGGAAGGTTTTTTTTCCATGGTTAACCCAGAGCAGATTAGGATTTCTTTTGTCCTTCCATGTTTGAGGGCTTTGGCCTGTCTTCCTTCTGCAGGAACTTTGCCCTCTCTTCAGCTCTCCCCTTTCTCCTCCCACCCAAAAAGGAAGCTCTTCTACAAGGAAGGCTCCCTAGGTGTAGGGACAGGGCCTCACACCCACATCTCTGTCCCCTTCCCCCTCAGGAGATCCGTGAGCTGCAGTCCCAGATCTCAGACACATCTGTGGTGCTCTCCATGGACAACAGCCGCTCCCTGGACCTGGATGGTATCATCGCTGAGGTCAAGGCCCAGTACGAGGAGATTGCCAACCGCAGCCGCGCTGAGGCTGAGAGCATGTACCAGATCAAGGTGAAGAGCAGGATCACTGGGCTGGCCCTCCTTTTATGTGCCCCTGCAGATGGGGAGGGTGCAGTATTTCAAATTCCCTCTGCTTGCTGCTGGGCCTGCAGAGCTGGTGCCTGGGGTCTGGAAAGGGGCTTTCAGAAGGCAGTAGTGTATGTCAGACTTGGGGAAGAGATGACCCTGGCTCTGGTGACCTGGCCAGGAGGACACTCTCCCTCAGTGGTGGGCATTGGGGGTCCAGGAGTCCCCTCTGGAGCCTCACTTCCCATTTTGCCCCTGCAGTATGAAGAGCTGCAGACTCTGGCTGGGAAGCACGGGGATGACCTCCGCCGCACGAAGTCCGAGATCTCGGATATGAACCGCAGCATCAGCCGCCTTCAGGGAGAGATTGAGGCTCTCAAAGGCCAGGTATGTGCTGGGCTGGGGGCTGGATGGGATCCTAGCCTTTCTGGGTGAGAGGAGACCATGCCAGAAGGAGGGAGAGGTCTAGAAATAGGGCCAGTGAGCTGCAGGGGCAGCTTCAGTCCAGCTTTGTCAGACGCTCCTGGGAAGGTGAGAGACACTGAGCCTTTTCTGAGGTCAGGACGGGTGAAAGGAGCTGGACAGGTAGGTTGGGGTCCATGATAAAGCCTGCTTTATTTATATGTCTTAGATATGAGAGTAAGACTGGATTTTGCTGCTTTATAGAAAGTCTAGAACCCAGAGATCTGGTCAAGCTCAGGTTAGGGGACATAGTGTCACAGGTGGGCAACGTGAGGGGAGCTGTCTGGAAACTGTGGAAACTGCTGCTGATTCCTCATTCTGCTTCCTCAGACTAACTGGTAGCATTTTCTTGAGCTGGGTAGAGTTTGTCCAGCTCAGGAAGGGGTTGGGTAAAAAGAGGAACAAGGGGTTGGGTATACTAGATCCTGCCTGTTTACCTGTCTCCGTCCCTCACAGAGAGCATCCCTGGAGGCCGCCATCGCTGATGCTGAGCAGCGTGGGGAGCTGGCCATTAAGGATGCCAATGCCAAGCTGGCCCAGCTGGAGAGCGCCCTGCAGAAGGCCAAGCAGGACATGGCGCGGCAGCTGCGCGAGTACCAGGAGCTCATGAATGTCAAGCTGGCGCTGGACATCGAGATCGCCACCTACCGCAAGCTGCTGGAGGGCGAGGAGAACAGGTGGGTGTGGGGATCTCTCACAAGGTTGGGTCCACAACCTTGAGATCTGCGGTGGGGAGAAGTGGGTGCTGCACGGAGCCCCCCTGGGACTTGGGTCATGTTTCTCTGGGGCAAGATTGGCTGGGTTGGTCCTGACATCGCATGTGTCTGGGTACAGGCTGGAGGCTGGGATGCAGAACATGAGTATCCACACGAAGACCACCAGTGGCTACTCAGGTGCGTTCCTGGGCCCTGGGGGTGGAGGGCAGGGGTCTGGGAGGGGCTGTGCTGTGCTCAGCAGCAGCTAAGGGGGACAATGAAGGGCCAGGAGAATCCTAGATCGATGGGAGAGACCCAGGACCCAGATAATACAGTTGTTCATAGGAGGCCCCCAAATAAATGGTAGCCAAGTGCCAGGCACTGTTCTGTACATGCTTTATTTTATTTACTTTTTATCTAACCCTGTACATTTCCCTGTGGAACCACTGAGGGAGCTCAGGCCCATTTGTATGGCTTTGTCCGTGGATGCGCAGCGGTGTAGTCACTGGTCAGGCAGACCTGGTTCAGACTCCACCCCAGGGGCTGAGCGACAGCGGGAAGTGGGGACCTGGAGTCTAAGGTTGGGGTGGCTCAAGTGCTCATGTGGCTGCTTCTGTCCCTGACCAGGAATGGTGAGCTCACCCTACGGGGGCCTCCCAAGCCCTGGCTTTGGCAGCCTCCAAAGTCCTGGCTTCACCCGCACCAAGTCTGCCGTGGTCGTGAAGAAGATTGAGACCCGTGATGGGAAGCTGGTGTCTGAGACCTCTGATGTCCTGCCCAAGTGAATGGGCCACAGCAGCCTCTCCCAGCCTGCACCCCTCCCACAGCTGCCCCAGAGCCTGTGGGGAGACAGCTGTATATGGAAGCATTGGGAACAAGAGACCCACCTGAGACTCGGTCCTAGCCCTCAGCCGAGCCTTGGGGGGAAATACTGCCTGGGGTACCCCTTCTTGCCCATGCCCTTCACCAAAACCAATTCAAGTGTCTTTTCCAAAATAAAGCCTGAGCTGGTTCTGTGACTTGACCTTGTGTACGAGCATTTCCTTTCCTTGGGGGTGGAAGGGAAGTAGGCAGGAGCCCTCTTCCTAGACAGAAGCTGAGGAAGGGCCTAGGGAGCAGGAGGCACTGGGCAGGAAGTCTGGCTTCCTCTAGGCCGTTGCCAAAGGGATTCCTTTGTGGAAAGCAGGTGGTGCCCTGCTGGTAGCTGTCTACACCTGTGTAATGGTCTGTCTCCTGCGCAGGGCACCTCTGGGGGATACTTCTGTCCTTTGAGCTATGGATAAACCCCATGAGGTAGGCAGAGCAGGTGTTGGTCTTCTCAGGAAGAGTAGTTCACTTCCCCACAGACCTCAGCACCAGGACTGAGTGCCGATAAGGACATCCTGACTGAGAGGCCAAGTCATTGGCTCACCTAGAAAATGGCTGACCTGGGACAGGGGCCACTGTACTCCTTGGCTGGGCACATGGCCTTTTGTGGCCAGAGATGTCTATTTACCACCTTTGTTCCTCAGAGGCAGAGGAGTCCTGGTTTTTGCATCCTTTTGGAGGTTCAGAGGCCTTTTCTCAGTAATCGAGTATGCTATGCCTGAGATTTCTGGAGGCCAAATAGCGCTGTGCACCACTGCCTGTGTTCTTCCCCTCCCCACTCTGTTGAACCCACCTTGATTATTTCTCCCCACCCTTTCCCAGCCTTCTCCATCATAAACATATGATACACGGGGTGTGTGCACATCCCGTGTTTGCTTGTGGAGGGTGGACTGTATGCATACGGGTGTGTAGGGTTCTGTGAAACGTGCAGAGGGTTGCGTATCTGTTGAAACAGTCTCCAAAGTGTAGAGCAGAGGGGGTTCAGACGCATCTGGATGGAGCAGCGATCCCCAGTACTCCTGTGCCTCCGACACTAAGGGCACCGAGACTGGGGAGAGGCTGGCACAGGAGGCTCGTGCCTGCCCTGCTCTGGGTTCCTGCCGAGCTGTCCTGCCACCTCCCTCGCTAGGCACCTCCATGAAGCTGGGCTCCCTCACCACCCAGTCCAGGGTTCTGCACGTAGTTTCAATAAAGGGCTGCACTCAGCAGTGACAAAGCACCAGTATCCATAGCTGTGGCCCATGGTAAATTCATTGTGAGCACAACCTACGACTTGCGTATGACAGTAGCTCCATAAAAACAACACCAACCTCCTGCCCTCCGCCTAGGATCTGGCCCTTCGACCTGGCCCTCCGTGATCCCAGGGGTTGGGAGGGAGTTGTCAGAGCCTGGACATTCACTGCTCCTCTCTGGGATGGGACCTGAGTCGGGGCGCTGTGTGGCAAGAGGCAGCCGAGGGCCCCTGGATAGTGGCCTGGGCGGCCTCACCCTGGTGTTTGCTGAGGGAAAGGCTGGGCGGCCCGGGGGAAATTTTATTCTGCCTTTTCCCTATTCACTTTCTTCAGATTCTTGTGCACCTTCCAGGGGACCAAGGTCATCCGGCTGTCGGGGGTCATCGTCTGGATCATCTGTAGGGATTTAGACAAAGATGAGAGCTCGAGATCCAGCTACTGGGCAGAGTGAAGCATCCCTCCCTCCCTCTTCTTTCTTCTCCTCTCCTTCCTTCTCCATTCTCTCTCCCTCTCCCTCTCCCCCTCCCCCTCCCCCTCCCTCTTTCCCTTTCCCTCTCTTCCCTCCCTCATGGTACTGGGCATGGAACCCAGGGGCTCCTCACTGAACCACATCCTCACCACTTTCTAATTTTTATTTTGAGTCTGGGTCTCACTAAATTGCTCATTTGCCCAAGCCAGGTTTGAACTTGTGATCCTTCTGCCTCAGCTCTGCAGACTGCTGGGATAGCAGGTGTGCGCCATCATGCCTGGCCCATTAAAAAAATATAGTTGGTCTTGAATATTTGTGGCTTCTACATCTGAGGATTCAAACAACTATGGGTAGAAAATATTCCAGAAAAGAGTTGCTCTGTATTGAATATATATTTTTCTTCATGTCATTGTTCCTTTTAGAAGAGTCCAACACTATTAACATAGGATTTACATTCTACTAGTACTGTAAGTAAAGTAGATTTTTGTTTTGTTTTGTTTTTTTGAGGCAGGACCTTACTATGTAGTTCTTGATCTCAGTATGTAGCTCAGGCTGGCCTCAAACTCACTGTGATCCTCCTGCCTCAGCCTCCCAAGTGCTGGGATTTTAGGCATGTATGATACCACGCACGACTTGCCAGAGATGATTTCAAGCACAGGTGTCCAACTGTTTGTTTTGCTTGTGCCACACTGAGGGAAGATAAATTGTCTTGGGCTGCATATAAAATACACAATATAGCTAATGTACGTAAGTAACAAAACTTTTTTTTTGTTGTTTTTTTGGTACCCGGGATCAAATTCAGGACTTTGTACTTGTGAGGCCGGCAGTCACACCACTGGGCTGAATCCCCGACCTAGTTTCTTTTATTTATCTATTCATTGAGTTTATTGGTACTTTTTAAGTATATAGTACAGTTACATTTATCACTGGGATCCTGTACATTTGCATGATATATCTTGGTTCCTATTTTCTTCCCAAACCCCTGCTCTCCCTCAACCCCTCCCCTCCCCTATTTACAAAGACTTTGCAGCTTCTTTTATTTGCAATGTTTTTATCAAACATTAAAAAAGAGAGCAGGGCTAGGGATTTAGCTCAGTGGTTCCACCAACTGCCTTGCAAGCACAAGGACCGGAGTTTGATCCCTCGTACCAAAACAAACACACAAAAAAAAAAACAACAAAAAAGAGAGCAAACATAAACACAAAACTAGCGGGCTATTTGACCTTGTTCTTGTGAAACTAAAGCGTCAACATCTGATCGATGGAAGTGGTTGCCATTCACTTTGAAAAACACAAGCCGAGTCAGTCACTTCCCTTTTGAAACCCTCCAGTGTTGATGCCCAGGATGAGTCCCCAGTCCTCACTCAGCTCTTGGCCCTCAGCTGCTCTCACTCTGCCTCCACCTGCCTCAGCCTTCTACTGTGTGGTCCCTGTCTCTGTCCAGGTGCTGCTGGATCCTCAGCACCGAGCTCAAGCTCGCTGAAGCACCCTTCTGCTCCTTGCCTTGCTCATCCTGGGTCTGCCCTTTGCACACTGTTAAGCCATCTCGTCATTCCCAAGGGTTCAGTGCCAGGAAGGTCTGGGGGACGTCACAGACTGAGTGGGATGTTTCTGTCACAGCCCTCAAGGTGGTGCCCCAGGCTTTTTCATTGTAGATAGCCAGATAGACATTCATTCATCTGCAGTGGTATTTCCTTCTCTCTCTCTTTTTTTTTGTTTTGTTTTTTTTTGAGACAGGGTCTCACTATGTGGTTCAGGCTGGTCTCGAACTCAAGGCAATCCTCCTGCCTCAGCCTCCCGAGTGCTAGGATTACAGGCTTACACTACCGTGCCTGGCTGAAATGGGTTCTTGACTTAAGGATATTTTCATTTATGATGAGTTTATCAGGATGCATCTCCATCATAAGCCAAGAAGCATCTGCAGCTCCCCTTGAAGTGGTCTTAGGGCGATCAGGGCCACATGGAACCTGTGACAGCCCCAGGCATGGGTGGAAAGGGCAGAGTAGGGTGAGCTCGGTGGGCTATGGGCCCGCAGAATGTGCCTAGTGCAGGGTGGTGGGGAGGAGGGTGGCGTGGAGGCACAGAAAGACACCTGAGACAGGGTTCTTGACTTCAAAGTCTTTCCTGAGTGCCTGGAGAAACAACACAGATCCCAGTGGCACCTGTTAAGCCACGCAGCACACTTTCTGGGGCATCTGGGGTGAACCCGGCCCTCCCGGCCGCAGCGTGGAGGATGTTCCTGCACACGAGATGGTGAGAGATTGGTGTGCATTGGATGCTGGTGATTCAGCACGATGCTGAATGCTCATGGTCCCCCAATAACTGCCATTCATCCTCCCCCTCCTCTGTGGATAGAACCTCACTGGACAGCTGGGCACATGGTCACCTGGAATAAAGGCTACATTTTCCTGCTTTTTTTGATAATGAAGTGTGTCAAAGAAGTGGAAGCAAAGGAGCAACTCCTAGGAAGTGTCCTTAGAAGGAGGGCTTCCTTCTTGAGCTGCTTCTCTTCTTACTAGGCCTCTTCGCCGATGGGAATGCACACCCATTGGCTATGGTTCAGCAAGCCAGCTTGGATGGTGAGGTGGTCTGGGGAGTGGAAACTACTTTTAGCAGAGCACAGCAGTGATGGGACCTGGGTCCCTGCCATTATGGGGTCCATATTGCTTTTGGACAGATATTTCCTGTTTGAATTAAGCCACTGTTTGGGGGGGCTTTCTATTACTTCATCTAAAGCTATCATATAATGAGTATATCGACCTCTTTGAGAGGGCATCTGCCACAGTGCTTGACAGCTGAGCAGAAGAGCTCCGACTGGGGCCAGCAAGCAGGTTCCCAAATCCTTGGCTTGCTCTGGGGCATTTGGGAAATTCTTCCTCTCTCTGGGTTTAGTCCTCTTTTCTTGAACAAAGAGTTGGATTTTTTTTTTTTTTTTTTGTAGTACTAGAGATTGAACCCAGGGTCTCCCACATGCTAGGCAAGTGGTCTACCACTGAGCTACATCCCCAGCTCTTTTTATTTTAACAGTGGGAAGGTTTCACATTTTTTAAAGGTAGGAAAAAAACTGGCTCTGCAGAAAGAGTGTGGGCCAAGTAAAAGTAGGAAAAAGGGAGGAAAAAAAAAAAAAACACTCCACAGCGTCGAGTGGGCTACTGTGAAGGGACAGGATAACCTTATTTTATTTTTGAGACAAATTTTCACCAAGTTGCCCAGGATGGGTTCCAACTTGTGATCCTCCTGCCTCAGCCTCCTGAGAAGCTGGGATTACAGCTGATTTAAACAAACAAATCCCATCTATATTCTTGGTACATTTTGGTGAGTCACTGAGGCCCAGAATGTGGAACTGAGAAATCTAGCTGATCCCGGGAGCAGAGGCATCCCTGGAGATGTTTTCTGATGAGGAGCAGAGAAGAAAGCCACTCGATGCA